AAATTCGAGAAATTACCCAAAAATTCAGGAACTGGAGCAGAGATATTGTTGCGACCCAATCGGATTACAGAGAGAGACCTCAGCTCAGCTAGAGAGGAATCAATAGGACCAGAAAGAAGACAGTCAGCCAGGTTCAATACTCTTAGCCTAGGTAGTGAAGACAAGGCACGACCCCAATTATGTCCTTCCGCAGATAGATCGACTCCTTGGAGGTGTAATTCCGCGAGCCTCATTAAATTGCGAACAAGCATCGACAAATTTGGATCCTCAAGTTTCAATACATAATATGGGTTCTCAAGTCTCAATACATGCAAGCTCCATATAGAAAAATCAAGAGAGACCAACCTCGTTAAGCCGGAAATCTCAACCGGGATTTGTCCGGAAAATTCAGAATTGGAGAGGTTGAGGTGGCGCAAATTAACAAGTTTGCCCAACCCAGATGGAATCTGTAGTGGTAGTAGTCCGAAGTCACAGTCCGATCTCACATAGCCCGAGGTCAAATACCTTCGGCACCCGGACCACTTCCAATCTAGTCACCTCGGCAACGAGGAATGACGAGCTCGTCCAAGCTCGAGCTCATCCCCTTTGATCCTACTCTACAGTAACTCCGTACGTGCAGGAATACTGTAAGGAAACCTTATGGGATCATCGACACATATAGCCCTGATTTCTCGTGAAAAACAACACGTGGATGCCCCCTTTGAAGGCTATACATACCCCCCGAGGGTCCTCCCTAAAGGTAATGGAAAAACCGAACTCAAGCCTAGCTCTTGATTCACATTTGGTAACTGATTATCGCTGACTTAAGCATCAGAGTGTCTTCCCCGAGGACCCACCTCGGGGCTTTGCAGGTCTATCGGAGTGAGCAGACAAGATCCCGAAGTACCCAAGTACTCTTGTAACAACAGAATCCGAGTGCCATTGAAACTGTTCCAAGCCAAACTAAGGCTCTGAAGATGATGAAGATTGAAGAGACTGCTTGAGTTGTCAATCCCACTAGAAATCGACTCCTCACTGAGGTCAAGACCAATAACATGGCCACTGCCGCTACATGTGACGCCGGGCCAAGAACAGCAATGGATTGATGAATCCCAGGAAACGAGCTTGGATGAAGGAGCAGGGTCGAAAATGAGTGTTTGTTTAAG